TACGAATTTGTGCTTCACATGAACATAAGAGTTTTAAGAAGGTGATAGACAAAAAAACACTAACTCATTATGAATACTACATGGTTTCTTCATCAATCCTATCATACAAAATAGATTTATAGAGTAATTTACATGAATCTGAAGCATAGCCTATATAAATATCATAGTGCACCAACCTTATGTTGAGTTTTTTGTTATAGATTTGTCCATATCTCCCGATTGACTAGATTCTTTAAAAGAGGAAAAATCCAATGAAGCATTATCTTTAATATGCTTTTCGTCTAGCTCTTCATCGGGTAGCATCTACATAGGCTGGCAAGTTTTTTTCTTCTCGTGCGAGCTGCTTGTCTTTTGAAGGACCTTGATATTTTTCTTTAAAACTGTTGCCTAATTGACAAATAATATATTATATGTTAAATAATGAACTGCTAATTTGTAAATCATTAAAGTTTTCTTTAGGCATAGAAATAAATTGTTTCTAAATAATGAATTATTTAAGCAAAAAATGAGACCATATAACCTGTAAATATTTTTTTATATATGACGCCCTAGAGTCGCGTTGTTGGTTCCAAGAGTCCGTTAAAGTGGGGCATTCAAAAAATTAGGAGTTTCTGTAAACTTAGCATTAGCTACTTTTATAAACATTTTCGCAACTTTTTACCCGTGACCAATTGACAAGCTCGTTTTAATACCCAACCAGTGGCGGATTACTAATTACGAAGGGGCCTGTAGGCTAAGACGAATTTGTGGGCCTTTAAGCAATAAATACTCCTCCCACTATGTTTAGTTTTCCTTTTCTTGGGGAAAAAGCGAATACATCATGAGTTCTGTGCATTGCGCATTCGAACAGTAGATAGTACGAAAGCCATTTTTTCTCTGCATTCGATTGCTTGTAAGGTGTTTAACAGCATACGTGATCTAACTTAAGCACATTTAGCTACCCCAGAATAGCAAAAATGTTCAAATCCTAATTACGTCTAGATACAACGGGCCTCTCGAAAGCACGCGCCCGTAGGCTTAAGCCTACTTAGCTTAGTGGATAATCCGCCCTTGACCCCCACCCGGTCTTCGCCGAAGAAACGTCATTAATAACAGAATGCAACGCATAAATAGGTTTGCATCTTGTGTAAAACAAAAGCTTTAAAAAATTAAAGCTTTAAAATGATGCTATTCTATGACGATCGTGCTACTCAAAGTCAAACAATACATATGTGCAATTTTTTCATCGTGAATGATCATCAATCAAGAGACCATCTCTTTGATGGCTTCTTGCACATGTAACGACTCTAATAATACAATAATGAACTTAAGCTTTCAACGTTTTGGCTGACACGAACGTCATGAGTTACGTTTGGGAACTAGATCTATGACGGCGGTTTTGATGTAAAGGTTTTCGTTAAGCTGACTCAAAATGTAAGCTAAGCTTTCTTTTGCCTTCAATGGAGTTTGGAATTTTTGTTTTAATATTGTGTCAGCATAACACAATTTTAGGGAATAAAACAAAAAAATTACGCTTACCTCTCACGTTTCTGTTAAAAAACAAGAGCGCAAAAACAACCAATTTGCCTTCTTTGACTTCAAACACGGCTACGTCATCAAAATCGTTAAATTTACTTCCACTTGACGTTACAGATTTCAAAATATCTCTAATTTAAGCTCTCTAATATAAAGGAAGAGCAAAGTGAACTCACAAAAATAAGACTTAACTCGTACTATTATTACTTTCAAACGCAGGATTTAAATGTCGAAATGGATTCAACAAAAAAGAGGATTGACATATTGTCTTTCGATGGCGGAGGAAGTCGAGGTGTAATGGAAGTGAAGATTCTCGACGACGTTTTACGTTTGGCAACGATTGTTTTGAAAACACCTGAGACTGTGAAATATCTTGTAAAGGAAGAAAATTATGAAAAAGAAGAAAACTTCCTGGAAGATCGCGCAGTTCGAGAACGTTTGATCAACGATTTGAGAGAAGTTAAGGATCCCATTCATCCAGCTGAAGTGTACGAGATGATAGTTGGTACCAGCACAGGAGGCCTGATCGCGTTTGGTTTAGTTGGCGGAAATAAAGTGGGGAAAGATCACCATACAAGAAAACAAATGAGCATAAATGAATGCATTCATATGTATCTCACAAAGGCTAGAGAAATTTTTAGGAAGACCTGTTCTCAGTGGTTTTTTTCTCACATACCTGGGTTGTCTAGCATCCCACTTGTGGCATATTCGCAAGATAACGTAAAAAAAGTCCTGCAGAATCAGTTTGGTGATTGCAGCTTAAGTGATTTAAGTGGTGAGGATCCTTTGAAACCTGTTGCTGGAGCTGTTGCAAGAAAAATCGGCAAAAACAAAGATCTGGTGCTGTTTGATACAGCAAGCGATTACTACAAGAGTTACAAAGCTTACGAAGTCTTACTCGCAACATCAAATGCTCCAGTTTACTTTGACACTCCAGTCAAAATTGGCGACGATGAATTTGTCGATGGAGGCGTTGGTGGAAATTGTCCTTTGGCACAAGCAATTCCCAGAGCACAGGAACTTTTTGGAAAAGATGGTAAACACGTAGAAATAGTTTCTGTTTTATCAATTGCACCTCCCTCGTCTTCAGAATCAGAAATTCCTTCTAATGGTGGTCTTACAAGTTGGTTACATTATTTTGTCAACGAATCAACCAATGGAAACGCAGTGTACAACGACGTTGTGAAGCAACATAGATGTGACAAAACTTTGTTTCAAAGGTTGTCGCCACGTGGTAAGAGCTTACAATCGTTTAAAATTGACGATGTCGATGTCCAAAAGATGTTAGATTACATGGAAAAAGAAAAGGCTAAGGATGACATGTTTATCGTCGACGTTGTTGCCACTGCAATGGCTGTTGTCTTTACGTCTGTTGAAAAAGTGAAAAATGAGCAGAAAACCACGTTGACCACAGCAGCACAACTTGCTAAAGTTGCAGGACTTGCCTACGAAAGCAGGAAAGAATATGAATCAGCAATCGTTTCATACCAAACAAGCAAACGTCTGGAAGAGAAAGTCGGAATTGATTTCACTTATTTCGAAGTCTCATATAAAATTGCAAAATGCACGAAAAAACAGGGTAATTTCCAATTGGCAATGAACTTATTCAAATCCAACGTGAAAGACCTTGTCAGTCAACAAGATGATGAAAATAGTTATGATCTGCTTGTCGATAACATGCTCGAAATAGCAGACTGTTACCTTGCAACGTTTCGATATGCTGATGCAGAAAAATATTTAAAGGAAATCCATAAACAGTACATCAAAGAGAAAAGAAATTTGCACGTGTCCTAACCAATGAAGCATGGTGCAAGCAGGAACTAGGAAAATATGAAGAAGCTGTCAAACTTTATAGGAGGCAGCTACATACACCGCAGATGACCTCAATACTGAAAAGGCAGAAATTCTGAATAACATTGGATTATGTTTCGTAAGTCTTGGAATGAAAGAAAAGGGCTTGAGTTTGTTCGGCAAGCCCAAGACATAAGGAAGAACTTAAATACGCCGAATAAGGATTCCCTAGTGGCTGAATCTCTTTTCAACGTTGGGTTTTGCTTGTTGAAGAAAGGTGATTATGAGGAGGCTATGAAAAATCTGGAGGATGCTAAAGTTATATACGATCAACTTGGGGACGAGATAAGCATTTCCTTAGCACTGAGAAATTTGGCTGCATGCCTGTCTTTAAAAGATCCCCCAAAATACGACCTTGCTTTGGTTTACGCCCAACAGGCTCTGGAAAAGATAAAAAATTCTGTCCATCATTACCACAATCCTGGAATTTCTAGAAGCTTGTCAGTTCTTGGTTTCTGCCTTTTCAAGGCGGGAAGGTTTAATGAAGCAAAGCAAAACCTGTTAGAAGCTTTGGACATCACCGAAATTTTGTTTTCAGAAGACCATCCATGGCTGATAGACATTTATCAGCTGCTCTACGAATTGCATACAAAAGATGGCGAGCAGAAGGAGGCGGAGAAATACGAAACGAAAAAGATAAGCATAGTCAATGAGATAGAAAAAATGGCTAAGGATGTGGATACGACTAAAGATGTAAGATGGAAGTCTCTTCACGGACTTCCTTTTTTCTGAAAACATTGGAAATGTTTTCATAGTAAAGTTTATATAGCTTGGGTAAGGATAACTATAATAACATGAACTACACAGGAGAATAGAAAGAACATAGTTAACCTTACATATGCATAGCTAAGCGACACCAAACACTTTTTTACATAGCCCAAAAAGGTTCGTGTAAATAACTAATCAGGTAATGAATGTAGAATGTCACAGAATAAACACTTGAAAAGCATTTAGCAACATTAATCTTTAGTGTTTTTCGAAAACAACTTGACAGAAAGATACAACGACAAAGCATTCAAGCAGGGACTTCTTAAACTATCATTTAAATTATTTAAAATCTCTCGAGGAACAATGTTTCGTAACTTTATATTTATTTCATGGACATCTCTGTACTTTCGAAAAGATATGGATTTAGGCATCCACTTTAGGATATTTGCGAGACAAATTACACAGTATCTAAACACCTGCCACATTTACGAATAACCACATTCAATGTTTGAAAAGTACGGTTTCTTAAAAGTTTATTTTTAAGGGGAGGAGTGACAATTTTTCAGATATTTTACGCATGACATTGCCAATGAGGTAAATATAGAAGAGCACAGGGGCCGATTGCTCGAGGCATGGATAGCGTTATCCATTGCATAGAAGCAAATTTTTTTAAATGGTCAGAAACCTTCTTAAAAAGGTAAAATGTAAGGTTTGAACTGAGCAATCATTGTAATAAAATATTGCTTCTAAGATAACAAAGTATCTTGGTGGTATGCAACTTTTAACTAGTACGCTTGTTGTTTGTCGGCAGGATTTCGCCATTTTTGTCACCTATTTGTCGTAAATACGGCTAACTCGCGTTCTTTTACAATTTTGCGATATGATGCCCGGTTTTTCAATAAGATCTTACCCAGTGCGTGCCTGCACCTCTGCAATTTATTTATTGCAAGATTCTTTGATGTGATTGCAGTTGATTTGACCTTTCCAAGTTATATCACGAAGCTCGTTCAATGATTCATTACGTTTGTTGCTAAGTTCATAAGTACCATCCAATCAAATTGTATGTTTGGAATAAAAGCCGGTTACGAAAGTCTATCTAAACGTTTAAACTTTACAATACAAACGAACTAGGTTGACTGTAGCTGGTTGGATGTTTCACATTATGTCACACGTTATCGCTCTCGGGCTTGTGACATATATATGTTGGTTTGCTGTACCCGGAACAAGTAAGACGTCATTGACATTTTTTATAATAAAGCCTAATTTACATTAGCAACTTCCATTGTTAATGCCAATAAATCAAATAATGGCATTCATTATGTCTGATCAAATGAGTTTCTTAAACTTGTTCACATTTAGTAAATAGTCTTTGACAAACATTTTGTTTGATTGTTTTGATGATTTGATATTTGATATACCATCGTTTTTAATTACTATGATTTTACAAGATGGGGAGAGGGGGTGGCAACATGACAAATTTTTATTGCACTTTTATGGTTACCAATCAAAGTTGCCAGCACAAATGATGCGGGGCCTCCGATTAAAGCTTGATTCAACTAAGGTTAGTTTGAACTGTCTAGTAACATGAAGTTTAACTCAATAATGTGCTAAACTTCAGTAGATAAACAGCCACTTACAGATTTTGGATTGCCATTTAAACTCCATAATTATGCATTTTAATTAATTGTTTTGACAATCAGTAATCATTGAAACATTTACCTTACTGGGTTTGCTTTGCGACAGCATAACACGAAACACAATAAGTTTTCCTACCTTAATGTCATTACTTACCTTTCATTGTACAGGTCTATTTTCATGGCATCCAACACTGATGATACTTGGTGTGAGTAAACTGTAAGAGATAATATACCATCAAATTTTTATCATCAATTACCAATAACCAAGTAAACAAATATGCATGCAACTTTTAAAGGATTTGATCATAATAAAAAAATATTGGATGTTTTGAATGTGTGGTCAGATTTGATAATTTTTATTACCATATCTGCTCTGCAGGGGCGGATCTAGAGTATGTCAAATCCGTCGCGCGACTGATGTTTGAAATTCAAAAATTACCTATTCATATTAATTAAAAATTCATTAATTATTCTTACTTTATTATCGCATTTACTTCGTGATAAAAATCCAGCTTTATTTATTATTGAAAACTAATGACTAATGCAATGAATATCTCCTTGGTAACCAGATCAGTTGAATTTTAATTGACCTGGAATAACCGACTGATAAGCGGGTGGCTTGACTGGTTCGACTTATAAAGGAGTCTATGAACGCCAGAAACACTATTTTATTGGTCAATGGCCAGATCAGTGGACAGTCTGGAATAATCTCGACCGATAATAGGGTGGCCGGACCTATAAGGGAGTCCAATTGCTATCTTACAATTGGTTCATTTGAATTTTGTCTTACTGTGATTGGTTTGACCGATTTCGACTGATAGCCAACTGAACTAACATAGTCAAGCTCAATGTCTGAATTGAATGTTTGATCGTTCATAGTAATTTTCTGAAGCATGATAGAAACTAAACTACAATCAGATGGAATTCATGGAAATCTTTTACAAATTCATATATTGACATGAATGCTGCTTTCCAAACTGGGAATTTTTTCAAGAGGGTAAAAAATTTATGGATGAATTGTAAATGCTTGGCAAAGACGATCTCGCGAGCGACATTTCAGTCATTGATGTTCAAAAGAAAGCCAACATTGTTTTGAGTTTTATCAGCAGAAATTTACATCGAAAATCGTAAGTAAAGGACAAGTGAAGTGTATGCATGAATGCAATATATCAAAGTCAATTTATGCGAGTGTGTGATGCGATTTATGTTAATATGGCGTATGGTAAGCAGATTGATGCTTCTAAAATTGTTGTTGCCGAAGGACTTTTAGCTATGATTTCTTTAATGCTTGGCCGTTATATGGCAGCGAAATCCTACATTTCTGCAAATATATTTCAATGGACAAAAAATCTGTAGCCATAAGGTGCCATACTATTATTTACTTTATCATAAACAAATGTTTGGGGCTTTTCAGTTTATGATCATTGATCATTCAATCATTAGACAGTTATACTACATATTGTTTAAGATTTGAGAAAACTAACATTGATTACATGAGAAGCTGTTTACTATAACCTGTGATTTTGAGTCTTATGATCCATGAAGCTTTTTTATTTTGACAATTTGACTGGAATGGTATTAAACCTGAGTATTTCACATACATGAAATGTTGTCCCATGTCACATATTGTCCCCTTTTCTAACTGAACACCTCATGTAGAGATGTAAAGGTGTGTTAATCTACGGCTCATACCAGATTGTTGCCATAAATTCCAAAGGGCTATTGATGTATGAAAAGCATTTTCTATAAAGTAAAAATGTCTTCCTATGTATGCAGATAAACCTTGAAATTTGGCAAAACAGCAAAGTATTTTTCATGATCACTAGGTAATTTTTCTGATGATCATTATAATTTCTAAACTAAATTATTTTAGATTTACATTTAAACAAGCTTTGATCATATGAAAAGATATTTATCACAACCAGTAAGCATGACACATAAACCATTTTAACATTCATGTAATTATATAATTAAAGACATGTTGGTTACATTCTGTTTGTATTTGATAATACAATGCTACTAGTGATTGCTATATAGCACACCTTGCAGAAGATAATAGTCTAGTGAAATGCCTAATAAACATTTATGGCATTAAGCTAACCTTAACTGCAAATTTTCACTCTGATAATTTTTGCTTAATCTTTGGCAGAAAAAAATTTTGAGTTTTTCTCAAAGGGTGAATTTGCTGGCACTGATGTGGAGATGGGTAAAGAGTTACAATAAACTTGCATGGTTTGAAGTCTGAGCTTTTCTATATCTATGAACTGTCACTTGTAGTACTAAATTTCTAACTTAACTTATTAGAGGTTTGAATGGTAATACATAGAGGTAATACATAGAGGTTTGAATGGGGTCTCTAGGGGGTCTATGCCTGACAACTTGGTAGAAATTTTAAAGAATATATCTGTTTTGAATAGCGTTATTGTAAATAAATCTTACGTTCCTAGACATGCTAATGAGCCATATATTTGGCATGATAATGAGCCTAAATATTTGGCAAAACATTCAAGTATTGTTCACTTTATTTTTTTTGAAAAACGTAAGAAAAATGTGTTGTTTTACGCAAAACGATGCCCACAAAATACATTTTGTATTGCTCTAAAACGCTGAAAATGGCATTTTCAAGACTCTGAAATTCAAAATTTCTCAGGGAGAATGCCTCAGATTCCCCAGGTGCGGAGCGCCTCCGACGTTTTATGACTGATGTTTGAAAATCCTAGATCCGCCCTGCTGCTCTGGTAAGATTAGACAGCCCTACCTGATTATATAAATAATTGAAACAGGGGGGGAGGCATTCTACATGGATAAACACATTAGTCATAATAAATTAGGCATGTATGGTCACACTCATGTGAAATGGTGTTACATAATGTACAGTCTTTGTAAGTTATTGAAATGAGATAAGTGTAATATGCAATAAAATAACAGTGCTAATTACTTTAATGTTTTAGAAATCAACTTTCAAAGTTTGTGTTAACATATGGCCTTAGTACTGATAGAGGTAAGAATGTTTTACATCTTAATTTTAGTTTGGTTTTTTCATGCTGGAGGCAATTCTAATATTTTCAAAAAACAGTAACCTTTTCCCAAATGCAACTCAAGCAGTCAAGGTTCGGTGCCATTGGATCCTCCAAATTTTGGCAACATCTTGTGCTGTTGGAGGATTTCTTGTCATCTTTATAAACAAGAATCGAAGCAATAAGCCACATTTCATATCCTGGCATGGCATTCTTGGAGCCATCACTATGTTCCTAACATGTATTCAAACATCCATGGGTACTGGATTACTATATCCCAAATTACCATTATTTAACACATTAAAGTTAGTCACATTAAAGAGACTTCATGCTTTATCCGGAGCTCTTTTTTTCATTCTCAGTTGTTTGGTAATTTTCGTAAGTCTCTATTCAAATTGGTTTGTAAGGAAGGCTGGGTTGTATACTCTTAGTTGGTGGACATGTGCTGTTTGTATTATAATGCTAGCAGTCTTTGTAACTAACCAAATTGCACAAGTGTATTTGTTTAAGAAAAAGTGATATAATCAACTATCAAAACGTTACAGTTGAATAAAAAAGTAATAAAATTTATACCTTGAAGCACTGGTCACCGTGTTGGAAAAGTATCATTAAATGTTTTCTCTTTTCATCTGCTTTTTTTGTGTTTTTCATTTTTATCCCCTTATTTTCACGAACATTGTTTGCAAAATACCTCATGACATTTATATTTGCAATCCTAAATCAGATATATTTGCCTTATTAGATTTATGGTCAAGTAACACGACAAAATATAATATAAATATAATACAGATCTAAATATAATACAGGAAAACAAGATGTGATCAGAGTTAATATCAAATTTAGTGAACTGTAGCCATTTTGATTCGAAAACATTTACCATACAATATTTCATAAACGCCCGAGACATTTGAAAATTCTATCAGTTTTTTTTTGGAGGGAGGAGTGATACATACGGTGCGTGTAAAATCATTTCTATCATTATTTACCATAAATTTAGATCTAAATGTGTTGAATGAGCTAAAATTTTATAGGTGAGGGGGAAGGCAGACTATTTTTCCAACACATAGATCAATATATAACCATCGCATGCAACCCTCGACATTAACTACTCGAATACTACATTTATTCATATTACTGTTCAACAAACAATCACATGATTAATAAATAAAAATTCGATTACAGCAATAATCTAATTGTAGTTATTTATGACAAAATTATATCACAGCTCTACGTAAAAATAAAAAATTCACAGGAAACATGTAAAATGAAATTTAGTCAAAAGTATCTTATGCTGAAGTTGGATTATTTTTCCATATCAGTTTAAATGTTTCTTCAACACTCCTAGTCATATTTGCTATCTCTTCGTCTATACTTATCAATTTCCCCTTGTAACTTTCCGCAATCTGCATGTCGTCGTTTTTCATATATATCTTGGAGAGAAGCTTGTAAACCTCAGCCAGCAATGGATGATATCAGGCAGACAAATGGGACAAATTGATTTTTCTGGCTAATTGGAATGAAGAAATGGCTGACTGCATCCAATAATACAATTAAATATACTGCATCAATTCGCACTTTCTTTCATACTTATAACGTACTTATTTCACTTAGTGCTTCAGGACATATACACGAAGGCCAAAATTAAATTAGAAAAGAACCTTCGATGTTTAGTGATAGCAATGTTAAAACAAACCTCCGGTTTGGCCCTAAATATGGACACTGCTTTTCCAAAACAAAACGGAGGGAAAACCAGCGGATTCAGTGAAAAACCTTCCAAAGGAAAAAGGAAATTTTTTGTGATTTTAGCTTGTTTTAAGTTAGGTAAATCATGTTAAAGTAAATTGAACTCGGGAGTATCGTTACATGTTTGTAAATGTCGATCGTCCAGGTTGGTATAGTCCTGAGAAGACTGTTTCTGTTGTTGTTGACTGACGTTTCGACAACCTTAGCGGTAGTCATCTTCAGAGTCGAAAAAAAAATTAATCAATTTTTCGTTTTATTTTTTGGTGAATATTTTGTAATCAAAATGATCTATTGTATCCAGTGGCGACGAGAGGCAGCCCGTTTTTTACTTTACATTTCATATATAGTTTTGCGTTCAATAACTCGATAAACATTGAGCGGAATTTAGTTACCGAATAAATAAACAATAATTTTGATGAAAAGGATGCATTTTAGGACATGAAACTTGGGCTTGTTTTGACTTCGCCTTTACATTGAAGTAGCCAGACTACACGTTTTAGTCATACAATTTTGTTTTACGAGACCATACATTGCAAATGACATTGAAAAAATAAAAGTTTTGACAGAACATAAATGCCTTAGGAAGCAATAAAAGTCAAAACTTTTGAATCGATGAGAAAACGAGGAACGAAAATAATTACATTCTTCGCATAACAAATGCCACACTTAAAACTATGCAATATTTGCACATGCGCATATAACAATGAAATAACTAAAGTGATGTCACATATATTATGGAATTTCGGTTCAAGGTAAGGCTAATGCTATTCGATTTTACTTTTTTAAAACCTTGATTTATTGAAACATTATCAATAGCTGGCTCTCACTCGTGAGCTTTTATAAAGACTTTTTTACGAAAGTACAGTTGTGCATGCATAAACTTGCCATCTTTATGGAATGGGTTAAAGAATGGAAAGATATCTCTATGAGTCGAAAAATTTGCAGTGTGCATTCTTTTAGTAGAACCCTTTTTTCCTTCGTATACTATCTGAACTTGCAATCCCTTTTGTTCCTTTGTAAGCAAGCATATGTTCTTTTGTAAGCAAGCAACGTCAAGAATGTCAATACACTGAATGAATAACTCGCAAAGTAAATAACAAATATAAAGAAGTATTACCTGATGTCCAAAGTCTCTTTCACCAAATTTTTTCGCCGATGAAAAATGATTGATAGTAAAAGTTCAACGCCATGCAAAGCAAGACTAACAACTTGCAATGAGTGAAAGCTAGCTATTTGCTTGCAAGCACGAAGCCCTATTTTTTTTATTAAAAGAAACAGAATATTCCAATTTCAAAATAATGCCTATTTTCTCTGGTTGAAGTCTTAATTCTAACAATAGAATTGTGACTGTATTTTATAAAAGTATTCTAAACGTGAGAAATATATTTTACTTACGCACCACAAAACCCTTGATCATTTTCATTCATTTACTCCCAGGTCGGTTGTAGGATATGGTTGGATTTCATTGTCCAACATGAGTTCTCATAATTATGAAGTATCATCAAAACATTAGCCATCACATTGTTTATTTTTCGAGACATCCCATATGGAGTCATCAGTCTACTACTATTTTGAACGTTAACTATGGTTCACTAACGTCGTCTGTCTTTCCAGGAAACGACTCGCAATCATGGTCCAATATAAAGGTTTTCATTAACATAGCGTTTTAACAATTAAATTGAACACAATATTCGAATGAATAAGAACCTGGTTGAAGTCTTCACTGGTTAGCTAGTGTTTTGTTTTTCTAAAAAATTTTGGATGGAAAAATAACTATTGTATTGAAGAGATTCAAAACACTAGTTTGAACACACTTCAACATGTGACTCTTGAGAATATTTGTCTCACCACTTACAAAATGGGAACAGAAAAATTTTTTGCTTCTAACGGGAAATTTTTTAATGCAATACCACGCTGAAATGTAAATCCTTGAAAAAACTTTTTAACAAAGTATTTTTATGTTCGTACTTTTCGTCTTATTTCAACTTCTCAATTAATGTATTACTTCATTTTTGTGAAAAACAAACGTAAAATTGTGACGCTCATTACGCATATTGACGCCTAAATAGCTTATTAATGGCATAACAATGAGGAGAACTTTAACGATTAGTTTTCTTAAGGGAAAACCATGAACTAACCTTTGAGTAGATGAAGAATATTCTTACAGCCGTGGTCATTTAATTGTTGTTATAAAAGGGTACCACTTCAATACCCCAGCTAAATCACTCCCCAAATAATGCTTACTTCTATGAATATCAGTTGACCACCTTTCGATGGGAGGATATAACAACGGGGTGCATCATCATTATATGCACAAATAACTGACATGTCAACAAAGTATCCAACAAATAAATATTCTTGGCCATAAATCCCCCATGACACACGAGTAGTAAAAAACTAGTAAGAGTGATTGCATTGTAAATAAGGATAATGCTAAGTTGAAGTTCAGGGCGGATCTAGGATTTTTCAAACGTCAGTCTTAAATTGGCAAACACCTGAGGCGTAGGGGTCCGGGGCATCGTCCCTGGAAAATGTTGAAGCCTAGGGTCCCAGAAATGCGATTTCCAGCGTTTTGGAATAGCTCTACAACAAATTTTCAAAGTGAATGAAATCGCAGTTTTCATTTTTCATACAAAATATTGAGGACAAACACGCTAAGACCGTTTCGCCCAATGTCAGGGCTCTTCAGCATGCCTAGGAAACACATAGTGCAAAGCAATAATGTGATTCTGGACATGGACAGTCTTTGTTTTAGCAACAACGGCGCATTACAGTCTTTTTACAAAGACTTACCAGTTTTGCATTCTTGGTCTGAACATCTGACTTTTTAACGAGCTCAGCAAAGGGTATGTTGCGTGTCTGTGATATGTTGATAAAATTGGCAGCCTGAGAAACAACAGATAAAATGTTATTAATTTCAACGTTAGAAAGAGTGTCACAGACAGAAAAATTTAGTCGTTGACTGTAACAGTGAGTGTAAAGAGCTTTAGGATTAGTTCTTAACATGTGCGCCGCTAAACCATTTATATGCCCAGAAACAGCTCCTACACCATCATAACCTTGTCCCCTGCAATCCATAATGGGTAAAGCACATTTCTCTAGAGTTTCTAAGACAAGCTTTGAAAGCTGTTGACCACTCAACCCCCATTTGCAATGTAGGAAACACATGAACTCTTCTTTAACATTCATTGAAGGGACAACAAAACGTAGAACAATAGAAAATTCCTCTTTGTGAGAAGAATTAGCAGCTTCATCTGCAATGATAGAATAATATTTATTCTTTTTATCTCGTTCATAATATCTTTGGATATTACCTGACCAATACTATCGATGATTTTATTTTAGCTGGTCTTGGAAATATTACTTTTATTCTTGCCACATTTGTCCCCCCTACAGCATCATTCCAATGACGAAAAGGTTAACGAAATAGCTTGCTTATTCTCGAGCATTTACTGGGAATTAATGTCCATAAAGAACACATGATAAGCAATAAGCACCATTTTTTTTGGTGAAAAACACAGCCAGGTAAAATTTTCGAGCCATTCATATTTAAAAGACCTTTCTTTTATTGTTCTCACTCAAAGGAGGAAAAGTGTAATTTTCATCTGGTTTAAAAACATTTTTAATAAGCAAACAAATATCAGACATTTTCAAACCTTTAGCTCTTTTGTAGTAGGTAGCTATATCAAAATTGTGACTAAAGTTAGGCTTTACCTGTAAATCTTCAATGATTTGTTCAGAAATCCTAGTACAAGAAACCTCACTTGTAATGATTTCTGGTTTTTCCATTTTTGAAAAGAACTTACAGATATTCCCAGACTTTTTTTTGCTTTTGTTTTTTTTGATGGCACTGGGCATGTTTGACCAGAAAATGTCCTTTTAGTTTTGCTAGGAAAAAGCTAGAGAAACAAAATGATTAGGTTGGAAACATTGATCTGGTTTAACTACCCTTTATAACAAAACAAAAGATGAATTGCATCGGCCGATTCTTTAACTATTCTTCTTGGACAAACAAGAGAGTTGAATATTGTTTTAGGCCTGCTCTCTCACAATCTGGGTAGTAAGTAAAAATTTTGTCTCCAACACAGAAGAAAGAGCTAAAATGCATAGAAACGATGACCACTTTTGGTCGTGACAATTCACAAAGGCCTCCTTTTTGACAAGATCAACACCTATAAAACCAAAATCTAGACAGTCTTGAGATACTGTCAAAGGTAAAATATTCTTTGAGGTGTTGTTGAATTCTTTGTGCTGTTCAACAATCGAGGAAAATAAAGGATGTTGGCACTAAAAAGTAGCATTCAAAAACAGCTCAAGTGATGTTAACTGCCTCAAAATATGCAATAAACTGTTATCACCTGCCAAAAGCAATGACAGTTGCCAGATACTTCTGATCTATAATGGATAAAAAAGCCGTGTTCCTATAAACGAAAAAAGTCGCTAAAAAGTCGTGTTCTATAAAAGTCGTGTTCCTCCAACAAAATTTGCTTAACTGGCCAGGAAATATCTATCATAGCCACGTAGTTACATGTAGAAGATAATTCAAAGTTCAAATATAAATTCACTATTCGCTGAATATATGCCAGTATTTATAATAAAATTAAAAGTTCAAGCCGTAGATCTTTAGTATACACTGCACAAAATGAAATCTGCTTCATTAAAATTTATACAGCAGTCAATAGACATAAACCACTACTATTTCAAAGTCATTCCTACTACTTCGTCAGTAAAATGGCAAGTTACTCAACAGCATTTTTTATACAACATTAAATAAAGACAACATGGTATAAACAACAAATGAGTTTTAATAGGTAGAAAGTTTATTCAATGACGTAATAAATTTTATTTTGATTGGCTCAAAATCAACAGTAATCACTTATTGTCGATTTCAGTTAAAGGACAATGGCAATGAAATTTTTTCATACGTTTGTCATAGATAGCTATGGAATACTTAATTTCGTGTTTTCGTTTCTCTTTGAGTTTTGCTGTTGAGAAAATTTGACATAAAGTTGAATCCTTATCCGCCATTTTGGAAAAAAACGTTATGCTAAATTATGCCGGAATAGATTACTGACGTCATTGGCTGGTATCAACTGAATGACACAATATAAAATAATAGTATAATAATAATATACAGCACATTTGTTCACTGGAATTTTAAAACAAAAACAATAGTCGGCGGTTGATAAGATTAACAAAAGTTATGTAGTTTATCACGTTTATATACTTTCCAATTTGTGATGCACACGAACGGCCGCAAACGCTGAAGGGTACGAGACAAGAGGGCAGAGCGTTGCTTCCTTCGGCCCTCTTCTCCGTTGATGGCGGCTGCTCTACCGGCTTCGAAGTTCCGAACGCCTTGGGAGCATAGATGCCTCCACTGCAGTCTACCTCCCGCGAACTCCTCCCAGGTGTTTGGGGCTATGTTGCAGCTCTTGATGTTGGCTTTAAGGGTGTCTTTGTATCTCTTCAGCGGTCTTCCTTGGACACGGCTCCCGTCTTGTAGTTGACCATAAAGCAGCATCTTTGGGATTCTGCTGTCATCCATCCTTACGACATGGCCTGTCCATCGGAGTTGAGCTTTGATGATCAAGCTCTCAATCCTGGGAGTCCACATCTTTCAAGGACTTCAAGGTTGGACACTTTGTCCTGCCACTTGATGCGGTGGATTTTTCTCAGGCAGCGCTGGTGGAACTGCTCCAGCTGTTGTATGTGCCCGCGATAAGTGGACCAGGTTTCACAGCAGTACAGCAGAACACTCAGGATATTTAGTCGTTATAAGACGTAGAAACGTTTATTTTAGCAGATCTTACAACTAGGCTTTGGCGACATACCAAGTGTAAGCCCAGACAGCAATAAGCGTGTTTTGTACACTGAACATTTCGTGCAATAGAAATATTTCATTTTCCCATATTACAAACCTGTGACCAACAAAGAGTTATACGTTTAATTTATTATTTATATACATAAGACTCTGCGAGATTATGTAGTTTTATATAGGTGATAAGCTATAAGCCGTTATGTTTTGTTCATGACTGTAGAGTTGCGTTTATTCGTAATGTTTTACGTGCGTGTTTGCGTGCACAATGTACAAGTACACTTTTCTATTAACTTTACAACTTATGAATGAATACAAGTTTTGGGTGGATCACTCATGCATTTTGCTTTTGCGCAATTCGTGACAATCCTTCGACAATGATATGGCATCGCAATTGCAGATCATAACAAAGAACATCAAAGAGCGTCTGTCTAAGACTTTAAATTTACGGTCTTTCGTGATAATATGCGTATTTAAAATGTGTATAAACTCCGTCAGATGACGCGAAGCGTTTTCTACGGTGGCCCGTATCTGCAATTCACAAATTAATTTGTCAATGTACAAACATTCCCTTAAATTCAAAAACAATATATTTGATACAAAAATAATGTGCTGAATGCAAAATGATTTTGTTTGCGATGCAAAACACGAACAATGCAAAACAAATTTGATCGCAATGCAAAACAAATTTGATCGCAATGCAAAAACAAATTTGATCGCAATGCAAAAACAAATTTGATCGCAATGCAAAAACAAAGTTACCGCAACCCAGAATTTTGCACTGTACTGTGGGCGGCAATATGTCGAATATTTAATAGAGTGGGACAGTGTATATTAGATTTCTTTCGAAAATATCTGCGTTGGTTTGTAATGTTTTGCTGAATTTCACCAGGAATGTATTGTCCATTTTGCGGTCAAAATATTCAGGTCACATTCCAATATTGCCCATTTTGCGGAAATCACTTACAAGGCTTTCGAAACGCGGAGGAACAAATCCCTGGAGGAGACGATACGTGTGACGAACTAATCGCGCATTATTTCAGAGAAGGCTTTGCATACGAGAAGATTATGCAATTCCTTGGCAAGTTTCACGGCATTAACATCTCCTTACGAACACTTAAATTCAAGCTAAGATCTCTTGGTCTTCGTCGAAGGAACAAGGAGTATGATTTAAGTCTAATTCGACAACGAATACAGCACGAGCTTGATGGACCAGGTTCTTCAGCTGGTTATCGCTCTGTGTGGCATACCTTGCAACGGAAGGTTACCAAGTGCCCAGGGAAACGATCAGGGTTTTTGTTAATGAGTTGGATCCTGATGGCGTGAGGGAAAGGCAGGGCAAAACCCTTAGGCGAAGAACTTACCACAACCCAGGTCCCAATTATGCTTGGCATGTTGATGGCTATGACAAACTTAAGCCATATGGCTTCCCAGTGCATGGATGCATAGATGGATATGGCCGAAAAGTTTTATGGCTTAAAGTATGCAAAACAAATAACAATCCTGCTGTTACAAGTCAACACTTCCTGGATGCTGTTAAGAAGTATGGTGGATGCCCCACATTGTTGAGAACAGACAATGGGACTGAAAATGTCATAATGGCAGCAATGCAAACTTATTTTAGAACTAGTGGGGATGATGAGATGGCAGGTATCAATGCTCATCGGTATGGTTCCTCTCAGTCAAACCAGCGGATTGAATCTTGGTGGGCATTTCTATGAAAAAATCGCTCGAACTGGTGGATGAATTTTTTTAAAGATATGATTGAGACAGGGCATTTAAATACATCAAGTGATCTAGACAAGGAATGTTTGTGGTATTGCTTTGCCAATTTATTACAAGAAGATCTAACAAGCGTCAAGCGTAATTGGAACTCCCACTACATCCGTAAGTCAAGGTTTGACACAGTTGCTGGAAGACCAGATGAACTTTACTTTCTCCCTGAATGCAATGGTGCACAAAATTATGCAAAGCAAGTGACTGATGCTCAATTTCAAGATATGTCTCAATATTGTCATGAGTATATGGAAGAAAATGTTATTCAAGAATATTATTGCACCATTGGAAATGAACTTGGTATGTCTCAACCAACACATTGGAGAAGAGCATTGGAAATGTACCATATCTTACGTGGAATTGCCCAAAGCTGAATTTAAATTTTTTGAAAAAAAATTTTTGAATTTAAATTTTTTTTTTTTTTTTTTTTTGGCACACCATTTGTAAATAATGTCTGTAACATAACTCTGCAAAAGTTTAACTAAATCCCCAAAACAAGGGACACATTGTTATTCTTCCTCACAATTTACTAAATATTCCTCCATTCATTAAAGCTGTCAGCAAGCAATGGGCCAGGCTACAATCTAGTGTCTTCTTGTTCACATACAAATGCAATGAGTTGGAACAGGTCTGAGCTGATGGTATCATCTTGCCATCATCATGAACAAATGTGATTGTTGGTTTAGGTACAAAGCCAATAGTAGGTACGTTGGTTGCACCAGTTGCAAATAGAAGAATATGCTTAGGAGTTGCTTCAGAAGCAAAGCGCTCCTCTTCTTCTGTCAACTCGATTCCTTCATCATGTAAGTTTCCCAGCAAACTTCCATCTATTAAATAGTAATATGTAATACATATCATATGACACAGAAATATACAGAAAAGACACTTATTAAATCTGCCATTGCAAAAGCAGATGCTTCGATCTGGGACAGATCACATTGTCACTCACCTTCCATGGACTTGATGAAGGCGATAAATTTAGCCATTATTATTTCTTGTGGTTCTCTAAGATGGTGACCAATTGGAGAAAAATTAGGTTTCATGATTTTTATCAGCTTGCTGCCATCCATCTTTTCCTCTGGATTGTACTGGAATAAATAGTTTGCCATTCCTTTATTAGCACGGACCAGTTGCAAAACCTTTGAATAGGAAAGGCATTTTACTTATAGTATATAGAAATCAATAATTAATACTATTGCAATATTCAGTGCTAATATCTGCTGTGTATATTATTCAATGTATTAACCAATAATACATGACTAGCATTAGTTTCTCTGTTTTGCTTTGTTTTACATAATACCCCAAAGTGCTACTACTATAACACTATTATGGAGGCAGGCAAATAAAATAAAATTAAACTAAACTTTGAATTAAATATACGACACCACATACATCATAATAATTGAGGCCTTCAATGAGCTGATCAAGCATTGGTTTGCATTTTGTGATGATGAAGTATTTGGTGACCTCCTCAATGAACATCAGCTTATCTTTAATTAGGAGGGTTTGGGACAATCCATCAATGTCATATCTCCACTCACTCTCAGCCAAAAAAGAATCAACACCCCCTTGATCCTTTGCAGCTTTCAGCTATAGTAATAATGAAAACAATTGTTGCCAAAATTGTTTAAAAAAAAATTAAGTTTCAAAGAATTTAAGTGTCAATAAAATTGGCAAATTGGTTTCTGCCATGTGATGTCGAACATTTGATACCTTTAAAAGAGAATCTCTAATGTTCTTGTCAGGTAGCTCATCTATATCTGTGTACAGCTGCCAAACCCTGCCTCAATATATTGGCAAACAGATTTGCTAAATATTCGTGGCAATTCTCCACCTTGCACAACAAGTGTAGCCAACATGTGTCCAACAGCCAAAAATGTTCCTTGATTCAAGGCTCCAACATTGCAGCAAATTACACAACCTGTTGGCATGCCTACAGAAAATTTATATTTAGCCAATAAAAATAAAGTGGCACACTCTACAACCAGGCTACAGACTGAAATGAAATCAAAACTTGAAATTTAGTACACAACATTTCCAAGTCAAGAACTTTAATTCATAACTTACTACACATTATTCCACTGTCTCGTGCAATAGCTCCAAGAAGTAGATGGAAGAATTCTCTTCTTGGGCCACTTTGATCTACGGCATCTTCCTCCTCTTCAAATGTAGCAAATGATACTTTCAAAATGCCAGAGGAACTAAGGAAGCCTTTCCTTCTAAAATATGGTAGCGCAGTTCGCCATATGCTTAATCGGCTAACAACAATGTTTCGAGGGTCTCCTTGAATTTTGTTTGCTGCATGCTCTTTAACTGCATTCAAGAAACCATCACTTGTGAGAATTTCAAGGTCAGTGATAGCATCACCAACTGCATCTTCCACATCGACATGCATAGACAAGCTATTACGTATGGCCTGTTGCACAGCAGCATTCTCATCAACTCCAACTGGTCTAATAACAAAGATTTCATAGATTTAATACAACCAACAGTGATTGCTTTATACACAATAAAGTAGTAAAACTTAGTCATATTACATGTTACACTTACAAAAGTCCGTCAAAGCATAGGATGTTGCAACAGCTTCCCCAGACCCATTTCCACTGGATTCTGGAGATACTGCCAAATTTCCATTACAATTTTCAGGCACTTCTTCTTGTAATTCACTATTGAGGTCCAAATCGTCGTTTTCGGTAAGTAGATCAGTGATGAGTACATCATTCGCTCACTTTCTGTTTTGGTGCTACAGGGCAAAGGTACAAACTTATTCTTGAGTACGCTTTCCCAAGTTCTTCTTTGTACTTGCCCATCACGAATTCTTCGTCCCCACCAGGAATTGTTCGTGCCAATTGACCATCTGGGTAAACAAGTACGTAACCTCTATCAGGGCAAAATGTTCTATCATAGTTAGCCCATTCGGTCAAAGATCTTTTAACAACTTGATCATACACCATGTCCGGTGTCACCTTCACAGGAAATGTTTTACCAAAAACCCGTCTTGGCGTATATGAATCATCGTGGTCGTATTCCATTAAACCTACTGTTATAAAACATCAGTATTTTTCGTGATGTTGCAGAGCGTGACTTTTTCCTCTTGGGCTCAAAATGCGACCGTCGTTCAGCCTCCTTGTTCTTCATGAAAGTAGACAAACTTGTACAAGATGAAGACGTGTTCGACGAAGTGGGGGAGTTCCCAGTCGAGTGAGTCACACAAGGTGATTTAACAGAGCTGCTTGAAGGCTCAGAGGTTCCATTGGATTTTTTCTTTCCGCAATTCGGGCAAAAGAAAAACGACGTCTCCATTCCATGTCCACAAAAGCAGCAAAACATTACAAACCAACGCAGATATTTTCGAAACAAATCTAATATACACTGTCCCACTCTATTAAATATTCGACATATTGCCGCCCACAGTACAGTGCAAAATTCTGGGTTGCGGTAACTTTGTTTTTGCATTGCGATCAAATTTGTTTTTGCATTGCGATCAAATTTGTTTTTGCATTGCTATCAAATTTGTTTTGCATTGCGATCAAATTTGTTTTGCATTGTTCGTGTTTTGCATCGCAAACAAAATCATTTTGCATTCAGCACATTATTTTGTATCAAATATATTGTTTTGAATTTAAGGGAATGTTTGTGCATTGACAAATTAATTTGTGAATTGCAGATAAGGGCCACCGTAGTTTTCAAAGTTTCAAGCAGGAAATGGTCTTCGATGTTTATTCCTAAAATTTGAAAAATCCACCTAGAACATCTTTGATATGCGACTAATCGATACAGCTTGTGTATTCTCGCCAGCTCCTCATCAGACAGGGGCCAGTTTTTCTAGATACCGACACACGTCTATCTCTAACACACTTTCTGACAGCATATTGTCCCTAAATTCTTGGTGTGTTGTCAAGCAATCTCCTTGAGTTTCTGTTTGGCCTAGCAAAGCCTCATACTCATCGTATTCAAGTGCTTTTCGTGGCAACAAAACACTCGATTGCCTTTTGGCAAAGTACAATGTCCACACTTACACCAACTAAGAGTATGAAGGCGCCAAGCATTTGCTTTCTCAAATTCAGCATGTATTTCATCCTCCGACGAGGACAAGTCGCTCTGCTCACTCTCCTGTTCGGAACCGCTTTCTTCACTTGTTTCGGCCTTCATTTCAGGTTCATATTGAAGGGGCAGAACTTAGCCCGGTTGATTTTCGTGTATGTCATCCATTACAGCAAAAAACCCCGTAAAATATGCTTTAAATGTGTTGTAACGCAGTCAATCACAAAGTATATTGTATTGTTGTTTTGACTGCCTACCGGCCAAGACGTCACTACCGCTCGAGATAATTTTATCAAAATTTTATCCAAGATCGCGAAATTTATAAACTTTTGCTGCAAATATCTCAGCAATAAAATATTTTTGGAAAAAAATTTTGCTATTTTAGTTTTTAGACATTACAAAGGTTCAAAATATGCCATAAAATTTTCGTTGCCAATGTCCTTTAAGTTTTCAAATGGCGGTTGCCAAGCTACTTTCTAATATTGCCAATTACATTTCCAAATATGGAATGTTCGTTATGAACTTGTCAACTTAAGTTCACAAGTTTTGTACTTGAGTACTGAAGTTGTGAACTAAGTTGCGAAGTACTAGCAAACGCGAAAGTTCTTTGTACCCTGTAGACATTTGGCAATGAATCCGTTCAGTAAGCAAGGAAATCAAGCAATTCTAATCCGTTTGACGGCCCTCTAAGAGTGCCACATGTAATAAATTTACAGTAAATGTGGCACTAGAAGTGTATCGTTGATTTCAAATGCAGGAGTACCCTGCATACTGTGCCCTCGACGTCTGTTGCCACTCGTACCAACTACAGACGACTCATCAAAGAAATGAATTCGGCTGCAATCAATCAATCAAATAATTGCTATCCATAACGCCCGGCCGTTCTGTCTCTCGAGTAATTTGACCTATTATCTTGTAAGTGTAACCAAGATCTTTATTCAAAGTTCTACTAATGGATGACCTGCTAGGTATGTTTGCTGTAAGGCAAACTTTGTTATTTTCTAGTTGTTGCTGAATCGCTTTTGCGTAAATAGATGGTTTATTAATTTTTAGATATTCAGTGTATGCAATAATGTCATTTGTACGCGTGGTTCGAACATCAAGTTTGCTCTGGCGAGGTGCAATAGAGCCAGTGTTTATCCATAGATCTATTATATTTGATATAGTCTTATACGGTAGGTTTAATTGTTTCGAAATGTTTGTCAAACGCTCGTTATTTAACCACATTTCAAGTATTTCATTTCTTACTTCTATTGGTAAAGGTTTTCCTTGCTTACTGAACGGATCATTGTCAACTGTCTACAGGGTACATGGACCTTTCGCGTTTGCTAGTACTTCGCAACTTTAGTTCACAACTTCAGTACTCAAGTACAAAACTTGTGAACTTAAGTTGACAAGCTCATAACGAACGTTCCATATTTGGAAATGTAATTGGCAACATTAGAAAATAACTTGGCAACCGCCATTTGAAAAGTTAACTGAAATCGACACTAAGGAACGATAAATAACTCTTTATAAACAAAAGAGATAGTTTCTACTAACACAATTGATGTTCCTATCTGAAACAAGCAAATGGATTATGCAAATTAACAGTAATATGATGCGATAAGTCGAAGTTCATGCTACGATCGTGGTTTTTGCAAGCATCTACTTTTATTCTTCAAGAATTGCTACCCTCACGTCAATGCTAAACCGACCATTTAAAATTTGTATTTTAAAATCACCTTCTTATCGTCAAAGTATATAATATAGATAAAAATAAGATTTGGCGGCTCTCAATTTTCACCAAAACTTTTCCATTTGTTTAAAGCTCGTTGACTGGTCCAGTGGAGAAGTGCAAAAAGATAAAACACCTCATGCAAATGGCTGAAGACTTTCTTCGAAGCTTAAGCTACAATTCAGTTTAAATAACTGCAGTGCAATTCCCATGATGAATGCATAATTTAGTTTTATTCTTGTCTTACTAATGTCGAAGGACTTCATTTGTTATTTTAGTCCCAACGTGTGATTGCAGACCACCTCTATGTGTTGAGTAACTATATTTTTTATAAAACACCTAGCTAAAATGAAATCATGAGAAAATTTGAAAATTTAGATTCCCTGGACGGCTCGAAACGACCGACGGCTCGATTCATGCTGTTGCTTGTTTCTATAACATTTCTTTATTTTACTTTACGAAAGTATTTACAATAAAAAGTTATGCTTTGTTTATTTCCCAATCCTACTAGTTCGAATATCTTGAAATGCTTAGCTTTAACTTTCGTATTAGCGAGAGCGTACCAGCGACCGATAAGATTTCCGTTTTAAAACAACAGTAACAGGAAAATGACCCCTATAGTTTATGTAAATAACATGAGCATTAAGCAAGCTTAATAACTTAACTTCCTTGACTATCATAGCGTCGCCATAAAATCTTTCAAAACCATTTCGAAATCTATATGACAACAAAACTACAAATTTCCTCACAGAAAACATACAAATGTTTACAGAAGAGCAGGAGAAGCTCCATTCGTTATTATGTTTTATCTGACAATCACCGAAACATGACCAAAACATTTAGCATCTTATCATTCCATAGTAGATAGTAGCGTATGCTCTATTGCTAATTTCATAAACTCGCAAAAGTTGTTGATCTAAAACTTGAATTTTATTTCGGAAATGTCCGCATCATTCGTGGCCGCAAGAAGATTGATAATTAAGGGTATAAATTTCAAAGGAAACTAATAAGGCAAATCATGCATACATGAATATTAGCCATTCCCAGTGATTGATCTTCCTCTAGCCGTGAGATTCTCGCGTTTTTACATGATTTACGAATATTCCATGCAGCTAAAGACATTATATTGGTATTAATAAATAAACCATTGAAAATGAAAAAGCATGATGTTACTTTATCTTTATCAATCAATAAAACTAAACTGAAGTTGCACAAAGCAACGCCTGTGTTCAAGATTCTTCAAATTTGTTAGCATTGGAAATACAAACAAATACAATGTGGAATCTCTTTCGAACACAATTTCCATATGTAGTTGGAGTTTGAGTGTGACAAAATGTAGCAACTTTCATCGATTGGTCCAAATCCAAACTTTAAAAAGATAGCAATTTCTTATACATACGTAGCATACGTAATAACATACGCAATGACATAACATATTTTTCCTACATTTTTCCTATATTTTTCACGTCAATAACATGCGTAATTGCAAAAATGCTACAGAAATCACTTCGTTTAAGGTAGTTGTTCGTCGTGTCAGAGTTATATGTTGCAATAATTGGTGAAGAATAAGTAAAATGCTGTGCACTTTATTAAATTTAAAATTCTTACGAAATAGGAACCTGCTGTGTCTTGATACCAACAGCATCACCTTCAAAAACTTGCACAGACATTAGAACAAATTTTAGTGAACAATCTCCTCACTCTATTCGTCAGAGGTGCATGTAAGAGCAATGATATTTATAAATTTTTGCAATTAATGAATGAAAACGATTTCTTCAGTAGAAAATTTTTTATTAAGGAAAATAACCAAATACGCGAGCTCAACACAAACAACCACTTTGATTTATTATCAATGTCGTTAAAACTACATCTGTGTATAGGTCATAGCTATAGCCTATAGCTTTATGTTTTCTGTCAGTTTATTCTCGATTGTTTGTAGCTGGCCAACCGTGCCATTTTGAATGCTATTTTAAAATATTCCACTTCAAATGAAACTATTTAGAATATGCCATATATCAATAGCTACATGTAATCACAAATCATGTTGTTGCATGGGTAAGATTTGGCAAATTTACCTAGCCTAATCGATTCAACTATGTTCGACAAAAAGCCAGGTGCCAAAGCTCTTAATGATCACAAAAGTTAAAGTGATCTTACAGTGACCAATAGTAACATGACATTTGAGTCTGTTAACCTTTCAAAAATTGGGGCTGGTGTGATTATTTAACACTCAACATCTACAATGAACTATTTATGTTTACACTGTACATAAAGACTCTTTGCATTGCACATATACAAAATAAAAACTGGTTTAGTTTAATTACGATATCAAGGCTAGAGAGACATTCGATCATTTCCTACAGTGGCATTACACTCAACAAATTAGACAAGGACTTATTATACACTAAACACTTGATGGTTTCTTTACCATAGGCCCTGCTTTGTCACTATGAACACGGCATTTTGTAACAATATGAGTGAAATGACCACTAAGATTTTAGATTACCTTCAGTTGAAAATAACCATATTAAACTACAATGATCATTTTGAAAATGCACGCCACATGTACAAAAATCCAAGTAAAAATACAATAAATTTCACACGATGAATTGCTTGTTTGTGTAGATGAAATAATACCAATATCAACTAAAAGCCTATAAATGCAAAGTAAATGTGAATTAGGTTCAACAGAAACATTGAATACCGTACAAAGCAAGAGTAATGAAATTTATACACTTTTTAAGGACTTTCAAGAACATATATTTTGAAAAAGCAAGTGTAAATGTGTAAGACCTTAAATTGCATGCAAAAGCCGGCGCACACATTCTTCAACACATTACAAACTTAACAACAAAGAACTCTTTTAATGAATATAGAACAAATGATGCATCATGAATTTCACTTTAATAAATCCCTCCAATTATCAATCTTCCGACGGTCAATTATCATGCCGATATTTTTCCTAAACGGAATTTGACTTTTAGATAAAAAATGTTTGCAACTTTATCACACTAAATAACAAGAGAGCATTCGTGACCATCAACGATGTGAAAAATGAAAAGCTACTCTCTAGGTATGTGGGATAGAATGCTGCATTTTCAGTCATGTTTCCGTGGTAGTTAAATAATAACATACATAACGAACAAAGTGTTCGAAGCGCTTATGAAAAGATTTGTACATGTTCTGTGAGAGGATTTAATGTTTTCTTGTCGTAGAGATTTCTAAGTGATTTTGAAAGTTTTTGGTAGCGACTGTTTGTTTTTTAGGGCAATTTAATTAATTAGGCTTTCATAGATAACATTGATTATGAATGATGAGTTCGCCAAGCTTGTTTCGAACCGTTTTTAAGAGTTTTTGTGCCAACATTTTGATAGTAAACGTAAGTAAAGTA